AACACGTTTTCCTTCGCGAAAAGACGGTGGTTGACGGTGGTCTCTGGATTTAATGAAACTTTCATTCGATGAAACACGCGAAGAAATATTATTATTATGTTTAATCGCCGTGACTTATCTTCCTGTTGGCTTTAAATAGATCTAGCGATCCGTTCTTCTTGGGGGAAAAAAAAAAAAACAAGAAAACAAGATTGTATCGATGATTTCTTTTTCCGAATACGAACTTTCGCGAGATTAAATTCCGTCTCGTTCGATTATTTCTACGTTTTGATTTCTACATTTGACGTTGAATTATAGTTTGTTTGATTTCTGAAATCCATTTTAGAGAGGTGTGTCATGGAAAGCTGTTGTCAGCCTCTAAGTTATTTGCAACGCGTATTGTTTTGTATATTATGTGATTAAGTGAAGAATGTAGCATACAAAGTATGTAATGATGTTCGAGCCAACCTCATTGCCAACAATTCCGAGAGAGAATTGAATTTGACGCAATAAATCAGTCTATGTCGCGGCGTTGTCGCTGTGGAATTAAGTCGTCCGACGTGTTTTATTAGTCATATTAACCCTCCCCTCCCTCCCCCTTCTTTTCAAATTATTCTAGAAAAATGGAATATCGCATCTCGTATAATTGGCCGGAGAAAGTAACTTGTTCAACGAAATCTCTGACTAAACTTTAAAATTCCACGAAGGTAAGAGACAGGATCAGGAGAAAATCTAACGTTATTAGCCTCGTATCAGAACTTTTCTCCGCCTGTCCCTTTTACCAAGAAAAATGGAACATTATCTCTGTAATTACTCGGAGAAAGCAATTTATTCGACCGTTTAACGAAATCTCGAAATAAGATTTAAAACTTTGCAAAAAAAAGTTCTTTTCTCTGGACAAAAAAAAAATCTATTAACCATATTATATCGAAAGAAGGAGAAAGATGTAACCCGTTACATAATCAGAATTTTTCCCTCTATTACTTCCAAATTACTTAAAAAAAAAAAATCTATTACCCACTGTTCAACGAAATCTCAAAAATAAGATTTAAAACTCCTTGAACAAATACCAAATTGAAAATTAAAACGGAAAGAAAATCCAAACGAAACTGTTTGTCTCGAACTTTGCTTCACCCAGAGAAAGAAAGCATTCCCCAACTTTCCTTAACGATCCAACAGATTTAAAAACTTTGGTCGAGAGAATGACAATAAAAAAAAAAAGAAAAGATAAGAAAAGAAAAACTCCGAAAAGTATCCGTTTGCGTTCATCAATACCGTTGATTGTCGACGCTCGAATCTCTTGAACGTAGATTCACGATTAACCGCAGCGGTTTAACCAGAGAAACTCGCCTCTTCCACGAGATGAACTCGAGATTTCGCGAATTGGAAAGTACTCGTGATTCGGGTGATATGAGCGACGGTGGCGCCGCCACTTTGCCCGTAATTGGACCAAATTCCACGAGTTCCACGCCCGCTTGTCGCTTAGGTGGATTCGCCATCTCCACGCTGGCACACGATCCGTTTCGTCCAAACGGATGTTTTGCTCGCGATTGTTACTCGCGTTTAATTACTTGGAAAGATCCGCCCCGCGAGAAAATCGCACGGTACATGTGTCCAAGTCGAGCCCGGTTCTAGATATCCCTAGGGACTTTTGATTTAGCGCGGTGACACAAGACTGATTGGGCTTGGCGGTTAGAAAAGACCGGCTTATAGAGAGGATGAAAATAAATGGACGTTCAATAGCGCGACAGTTGGGTTTTTCCTACGTGTTGGTGGAATTAAAATTAGAAGATTTCGTGTTCGGTCCGGAATTTCGAATATTTCTCGTATTCGTCTGAAATTGGAGGTTTTTTGTTCTTTCTATATATATATATATATATCTCGACGGATGTTCAATATTTAAGTAGACGATCTTTCGCCTAGGATAATGTATACATATATATTACACGTTTGATGTTCGTCGAAATTAGAATTTCTGGATGGAATTTAGGAAATTTTGTAGCTGGTTCGATCTTACGAAATATAGTTTGTCGGAATTCGAAAGATTTTGATACAATTGCGTTTGTTGCGCAAACTGCTTTTACTTCAAAATGTGTTACAATCAGGATGAGAAGCAAAAGCCTTCGTTGTTAGCATGGTTGAAATGCAAAATGTGAACGGATAAGCGGTTACTGTTGAGATCACAGGCCACTGTGGTATTTCAGATGGGACTGAGAGGAGATTGTGGCCATTGAATGCAAATGTTAATTATGGTAATGGAGTTAATATTGGATATTAGGACGACGATATTAATCCTTGAAAGTTCCAAGGTGTCGAGGGTGCCGACAATTTTATATTTGCATCCTGCGTTTTATTAAAAAAAAAAAAAAAAATCGGTTCGAGCGTACGATTAATGAAATCTCAATTTTTATAATTGAAAGCGGGGAGAAAGTTGAAAGCTAGCGATCACAGATAACCATGACGTTTGAAATCATCATTGAAAATCGTTGAAACAATTAATCTTGAGATTAAAATTGTCATCGGTGAAATCTCGTTAATCTTCCCCTCAAAATTTTCGAAATCCCTTTTAATCCAGAATTAACGAGCTACTCTAACTATTCCTCCTTTGAACTTAAATCGTTCGCTTTCGAGGATTTCCTTCCACGATTATCGTAATTGAAACAGAATCGTCGAGACGTTAAACCCTATTAATAATCGCAAGTCGGGAACATCGAGTCTGAAAACTTCCTCGAGTTTTTTTTTTTTTAAGAAAATGGTGTAATTGGGTCGCGCTTATAATCTCTCTTCGAGACAGATCTTTCTTCAACTCGAAAGAATATAATCGTAAAGGAAGTTGGCTGAAAATTTATTATTAGAAAACTTCGAATAATTCCGATAATTTCGATAACACCGACGACACCAACTCTCCAACTCTCGGCCAACGTTAAAATTCCTCAGGTATACTCGCGATCCTCTCGAGTATTCTAATTTCCCTTTAAAGATAAAGACTGGATAAACGCAATTAAAACCACGGAGAGTGGCAAACAGAAATCGAGAACGGCTACGAATTTGGTAAAAAAAAAATCTCTAAGAAAAAGTCGTCCAACTCCGATCCAATTCTCTCTCCCCAATCATCACGCCCCTCCTAACTCCGCCATTTTCTGCTCTGAATCTTTCGATTGTTCCGAATTCCGTGGTAATTGCCACATTGGCGCGGTCTGCGAATGCAAAACGGGGAGAAACCGCGTTTACGATCTCTAACCATCGTTTTAACCATCGGTGTTCGAAACCGGCGGCGTGTGAAAAATTGCGTGCAACATCGGTTCCGATCCGTTCGAAAATTTCGAATCGGGTAAAATAAAATAATTCGTGGAACGATATCGAATCGGCCCGATAATCATCGAGACTGGGAGGGGGGAAGGGGTCGCCAATTTGCGACGCGAGATAAATTGCCACACTAGAGTAATTGCGATTTAAAGCTGAAAAATATCCGAGTCCCTCCTAACGAGTGCCTTTATCGTCACAATGGATCGCGATACACGTCGATACGAGGCATGGCGCATCTCTTTTCAAAGCGCGCTACACTTCCGGCGGGCCTTGGTGTGGTATTTCTGTGTTCGACTTCGACCGTATTTGCGTGACCCGTGTGTCTGATGATTGCGTGAATTGCGTTTGCCTCGTTGCATGTATAATACGCTGGTATTATGAATCGTTGCGATGGGCGAAAATGATTCGATCGTGTCGAATCGTGGGCCACCATTTTGGAACCGTTCCTCTCGTTCTTCTCGATCTTCTCGCGAATCGAGGGTTGGAAAGAGTTGGAAATACGCGTGGAAAAATTTGGGAATATTGTCAATTTGTTAAGGAAAGGGCATTCGAGGATCGAACCGTGTTTGCGTTATTATTGGAAATTTGGAGAAAGCAACAAGGTATAAATTAATTTATCCAGTTATTATATTTGTTTGTAGAAATAAACGTAGTACAGATATTTCTTTTTCTATCTTGTACGCGTGAAAATGTTTCTCGGAATGTACGCGAGAAATAGGAAGGAATAAGAAAGATAATATAAATCTTTTAGAAAGTTAAAAAGAGGGAAGGGAGGAAAAAAAAAAAAAAAAAAAAAAGAAAAGAAGGAAAAATTCGTTGAAATCACGTCCAACTTAAATCGAACTAGATTATTTAACTAATTTCCTCGCGAACAGCTTTCCAGAATCTAAACGATCCCGGGCAAACTTTGATCAACGTGCTTAAACTGGTTTCTATCTTACGATTTCTCTTTATAAAGTAGAAATCCAACGTCAACAAAATAATTAAACGAAAAGAAACATCCAAGACGTTCTAAAAAAAAAAAAAATAGTACAAAAATATTCAATCGAGCAAAAATCATTCCAACGTGTTCCAATTTTCTTCGTCGAAAAAAATTTTCTTAAAATTCTTCAAAAGAAATACAAAAAAGAAAAAAAAAAATTTAATCAAGCAACAGCCATATCCATCTGTACAAATTCCCTCGTGGAACGATTTTCTTCAAATTTTCCAACACTCAACATGGTTCGATCCACGTTTCCGTGTATGACATCGCGCATACGTGAACTTTATCGAGGGATGCGTTTTACGGAAACCTTCCAAGCTCGCATCCGGACTACGTTTTTATCCAATTAGAGTCTTCTCGATACGGCGGCGTGCGCGCAGAGAAGTTGCACAGAGGTGTTAAGAAAATGGAAGAGAAAAAAAAGAGGGGGGGAGGAAGAAAGAGGCCGATGGATACGTCGCAAAATTAGGAGGAATTCCATCGTTTCTAAAGAAACAAAACGGAGATTGTTGAAGAAAAAGAGGAACGATTCCGGTCCACGATGATTTGTTTCGTGTACGCACGTACACGCAGCCCCTGCGCTACGTGATGTCGATGATTAAAAAAATGCTCGAGAACGCGCGTTCTCGCGACGAACGAACATAAAGGAGAGAGAGAGAAAAAAAAATATAGATAAATAAATGAGAAAAACGGAGAGATAGAAAAGGGTAAAGAAATTAAAGGAGGAACTCACCCAGCGTTGGCGTCGTGTAATCCCAGCTTTCTGCGTCGTTCTTGTATACGTTCAGTTTGGTGGGCTGGAAAAAAAAGAGAGCGAGTCGAGATAAGCGTTAAATTAAGGAGAAATTCGTTCATGTAAATTATTATTCCTTAATTCTTATATCATCTTTAAGATTATTAAGTTTTTCATACCAAAAGATTTTTATATTCGATTGAATTGTTGTTTTAAATATTGCGTTATTGATTGTGGATTATAATTTTGCATTCATTTTATTAACAGAGAATTATTGAAATCAAATTAAGAACGAATGTGAAAAGTTATTTTGGATATAAATTACGTAATTATAAAATAGATAAGTTTTAACTAATAATCTTTGATTAAAAAGTATTATTATTTGAATTATATTGAATGCTTGTACATAGAATTAATTCCGAATTATATTATTACATGGGAACGGAGCAGAATATTGTATTTTATAAGGAAATAATATTTTGATATTCTTGGATAATATTAACCAAACATAATGATGAAACAATATAAGATATTATTCCATAATTGCGCAGAGAGAGGATTTAACGAGAAAAGAAAACTTTCAATTTATGCAGAGTAATGAATCACGGTAGAATCCGTAGACAGACTTCGCCTCGGTAATTAAGGATTAAATCTTACACGACGATTGAATGGATTCCGCCTCTTTACATGCTCGATTTCCCAGTTTCTGAAAAATTTATCCTTTCCATATCCATACCCAAATCTTCGTGAAATTGCAAATCGTTAAAAAATTATTAACATTCCTAAAAAAATCAACTTCAACTTATAACAATTTTAAGGAATATCCCCCGGCAATTATCGTGAATTATCGTCAATTATCGCCGACAAACGGAATCTAACGGCTCCAACAAGTCGAGTTCTCGTAATTTCAACTCGGACACCCGGTTGAAATTTAACACATTCCGTGCATTCGCCGATCGTGAACCGAATTATTAATATGGGAATTTAACGCGGGCCGGCCTCCCTCCTCCGTCCCATAAATCCTCGATTAGCTATGCATACGCCGTTGCAAAATGAATTATACAAATATACAGGCGTATAAGGTGGAAAGAGAAGGGGAAAGACGAAATGTCGTTCGAGCTCATTTCAATCTCGACCTCCGAGAACGCGCGTTCGCGACGTTTCCTCTCTCGTTCGATTATTGTGTTATTAAATGTCGATCGATGTATTACGATATTTTTGGCACATTTTCGAGCTTCTCTCGATCGATGCAACTCCACTTTCGTTGCGAAAAGTTTCCTCCCCCCCCCCCTCCCAATCTTTTGTCCAGTCTTCGCGGATCCTCTCCGCACAGCCTCTCGACTCGAAGGAGGGAAAAAGCACCCCTTTGTTCGCCAGGGAAAAATTTAATTCCTTTCCTACCACCGCGAAGCTTCGTTGAATACTCTCCACCTTTCCCACGGGATTCGTCGCGTGTCCCTTTCCCTTCCTTCCTTTTCTCTTTTTTTATTTTCCTTGATCGATTAAGCCAACTGCGTGAAACTCGAAAATTTTTAGATGATTGTTTAGTAGTGTGTATTATTTCCCGTTTCTTTGTTTCTTACGATTTCGAAAATTTTTTTGTCAATTTTATTTCGAGAAGAAAGGAAAAAAGATCTCCCCTCGAATCTTTTTTATTCAATTTGAGAAAGATTAGCTGCCTTCGAAGAAAAGAAAGCTTCGAGCCTTATTTTTAAATTCACGAAATTTATATATATATATATAAGATATAAATATCCACATCGAAAAAATACGTAAACATGGAAGAGCCCCACGATTCCTCCGTTCGTTAAACTCATCGAATTACATCCAATCGTAAATTTCAAGATTTCTTCCCTCCGATTTTCAACGATCGTAAAAAACGTCGCTGCTCAACAAATGCCCCGGTTCTTATTTCTCATAAGAATAATTCCACCACGGGTGACCACCACGATGTGGAAGAGGAAAATAGCGTGCATTTATCAAGAGGTGGCACGAGAGAACGAGGTCGAAGGAGGGACAACAAGCGTGATAAACCGTATTTCCTCCGAATAGGGATGCTTGTTAGAACGAAACAAATCTGGCGGAAAGGGAAACGGTTTCACCGCCACTTCGTCTCGTCCGATTCCAGCCAATAAAATCTTCGAGAACGGTTAAGATTAATCGAACGATAAATTCTCGAAAGGATATCTCTTCTTTTGATATCTTCGGCTTGGGAACAATGTGGAATTCGACGTGGAATGAAACTAGAGAGACTAACTTGCATCCTCTCTGCATCCTCCCGTTAAACTCTATCCGTTTTTAAGCAGCTCGGTTTTCGAACGTTTCTTTCCTCTAGAGAGGATCCGAGAGGCAGATAAAAATCGTGGCGTCGCGCTTCGAGTTCAACAACTCGCGCCTTGCTTTCCGCGAATCCGAAAGAACGATATTCTCTCCCTCGCGGATAAATGTCGTATCGTACAGATTCGTAAATTTCGGACGAGGAAGATTTATAAGAAAGAGGTTATAAGCTTCTTCTTCTTCTTCTTCTTCTTCTTTTTCTTCTTTCTCTTGTTCGAATATTTCGATCGAAAACGGGAATAAACATCCCGGGATTTTACGAGACGAAGTTTGAAAAAGATCGAAGAAGGAATATTTTTTTCCCCGCGTTTATACGCGAAAATATCGTGGAAAATTTCGTGGAACGATAACTTTTAATTTCAGGGATACGATAGCAGATACAACGTTTGATACGCGATACAAAAGCTAACGGTAGCTATCCCCCGGGAGGGGATAACGTGGATAATATACATTCGATCCAGATCTAAATATTTATTCTGATACCGGATGATTTCACGAGTGACAATGCCCGATGGTAAAAATTCTCTCTCGAAAAAAAAAAGAGAACGATATTCTGCGCAGGATTTATCTTGCGCAACTTGTTCTATTTATTTGAAAGGGGGGAAGAGAGAGAAAGAGAGAAAGAGAGAAGGGGAAAAAATCGCGTATTGCCCGACCAAAAATATACACGGCGAATAAAAATACAATGGAAACAACGTATCGACGAAATAAAAATACCTGCGATTAAACGATGCACAACGATGCGTCAGCCTCTTATGTAAAGGAATTATTGACGTCGAATTTTATATTCCTTGGACCAAGCATGTGTTCCCGCAAAGAGATTCGTTCGAGTGGACGAACTAGGTAGAAATATAAAATTTAATAAACGCAAACAAGAAGGAAGATTCAACAACAAAAAAGAAAAAAAAACAAATACAAGAGTTGATGTGCAAAAATATGATATCGAAGCTTATTTTTCGAATTATAACCGATTTAATTGCGTATCGGATGAAGCGAGGCAGATAGATAGAAAGGCAGTTTTATCTCTGTTTATTTCCGTTTTATGTTAAGCGCGAAGTTAAGAAGTTAACTTCTTCTTCATAACTCGAAAAACGAGTTTTAACGAGTCTTTCTTAACATATCTTTGCATATGAAATTTCGCGTTTGTTTTAATCTCTACAATATACCGTTTAAATTTTCTACTCCATTTCGTTCGAACACATCTTGAACACGTATTTGCATATTTTCATTTCCATCTTCCATCCCACTCTAAGACGTGTAACTGTAATTCAGACTAGATTCAGTACTTCGCTTACTTCGTATCGGTATCGTGAAGATCGCCTTGAGGAAAATGCAACAGCACCCACCATTTCCAATCGGGGTGGCCACCACCTACGATAATCGTAATCGCACTACTTGGATCCTTCCCTGTTGACTGCCTGAGAGAGTTGAGAGTACGTCCTGGTGGGGCTATGCATTTTCACGGTGGCATTTCGCGTGATTTATCGCGGCGCCGGGTGGCGGGAAAGTTGAGTAAAAAAAAGGATACGCTTTTCCTTCTTTGTCGAGAAAAGCACACTATTTCACCGGATAAAAAATTTCATACCGTTACCGTGTACTGGGAATTAAAGAAAATAAAAAAGGAAAAAAAAGAAAAAAGAGAAAAGAGGATAGGGGAGGGAGGGGGGAAACAAGATAAAAAGAAAAATGATAAAACGAGAGGGGAAAGAGGAGTGAAAATATCGGGCGAAAATAGTTGGCAATTCCACGCTGCTGGAACTTTTGCAAAAGATTTTTGCTACGATGCGCGCCATTCCACGAAGCTTCTATTTTTGCTGGAAACTTTCATGCCTGGTTCCCTGAACGCGGTGATTTGTGAAGGTTGAAACCAACGGACCGTGCTTTCGTATGAATTAAACTTCTTTTTTCTTTTTTTCGTGTCTCTCTCTCTCTCTCTCTCTCTCTCTCTCTCTCTCTCTCTCTGTTTGTTTTACACGAAGTTGAAGGAACTCGAGCCACGCGCGATATTTCGATCAGATAAAACGACCTGTTCGATTCGATAGCTTCTCCGAAAACGAAATTTATGCAAAGACACTTTCACACACGAACCTCTACGTGGACAAAATTATTGGAGATACTCATGGAAGATCGTAAAAAAGAGAGAGAGAGAGAGAGAGAGAGAGACGTATCATTTTATTTTCAAATGAGACGACAACCTTGTTCCTCGGAATATATTTACAACAAGTGTTCTCAAGAGATAAGTAGAGTTTAAGAGATACACGGGTAGAGATAAGCGGGGAATCAGCTCCCTAAATAAAATCAACCCTCAGATTTGTTCAATTTCTCTCAGGGTTGGAAAGAACGGAAAGGATACGGAGAGAAAGAAATTCGATGGTGTCCTACCAGGAACGAGCTAATCCCCCGTTGAGCCACTGAACTTTTCAAAATGGATCCATCCACTAAATCTCGCTTACCTTAACCCACCACGTTTCGTTTATACACAAAGTTTACAAAATTCGCGCGGAAATGACAAATTCGCGCAATATCCCGAGAGAAAATTCCCAGTTTCGTTTCCGCCGCGCGCATCTGGAGGAAGAGATTGATAACCTGGCTCGGGATAAAATGAATCGCGAAAGCGTTTATAAATATCGAAACGAAACACGGCAATAAACCGACGCGATAAAATGAAACTCGCGGAGGAAGGGAAGAAGAGAGAGAGAGAGAGAGAGAGAGAGAGAGAGAGAGAGA